GATTGCCCCATCTTCCTTCTGAGGAGTGGCTGGTGGGTTTGAACCACCAGCCTTCTGGTCAGCAGTCAAGTGCCTTAGGCACTATGCTACCAGAGCTGAAACATCAGACTTCTATCACTCTTCTCTCTTGTGTTTAGACCATTGTCCTCGTACTCTTACTATGGCTGCCAGAGTGGCAGCCATTGTGTGTACATTTCAGGGAAGAAGAAGAAGGGTAAATGCCAAAGACAAGAAGGCAATCCTAGCCAGAGGCAGCTTCCTTAAAAAGTTTTCCCAACAGATCCAATCAGTGACTTTTGCTGACATCTTGCTGGCCAGTGAGTGCCACATGACCACCTGTAGCTGCAAGGGAGGCTCTTCCTAATCTGGGCATATCGCTATCCCATATAATCATGGTTCTATTTGTCAAGAAGATGAGGAAAATGAATACTGGATAGCAATCTGCCTTTGTTGTTGTTGTTATGTGCCGTCGAGTCCAACCCGACTCATAGCGACCCCTCCTTGGGTTTCTGAGGTAGTATCACTATGGAAGTAGATTGCCCCATCTTCCTTCCGAGGAGTGGCTGGTGGATTTGAACCACCGGCCTTCGGTTAGCAGTCAAGTGCCTTAGCCACTATGCTACCAGAGCTCCCATTAGCCTCTAAAAATAATAGAAGTAATAAAATTCCAAAGAAAACTAATCCAACAAAAGATAGGGAAAATAGAAACAAAAAAGATGATAGATGGAAATCATGAGATAATGTAATGATAAATCTAGACATATTAGAAATAACAATGTAAATTTGTAACATTATCTGTTAAAAATACAGAGACTTCAAAACAGATACTTTTATATTTTGTTCACAAAAAGGAGACAGAAAGTTGAAAATAAAACAACAGATAAAGATATTGCAAGGGGAACATTTCCACTTCTGATAATGGTGTTCTAAGTAATTGGGACTAATACTTTTTTTTCTGAAAATAACTAGAAAAGCTGATAAAAATATTTTAAAGTTTTCTGCTTGAAGGAGATAAAAAGTAATTACATAGTGGAAAAAAAAATTACTGGTCCATAATCTAAACTAAGAAAGAAACCCAGAGATGTAAACCTGGCCTTTGGGGCCTTGCCAACACTTTTGTCTTCCAATGGGTGCTTCCTGAGCCTTTCATGTCCCTCAATAGCACCCCACTCCCATCTTTCCATTAACTTCATACTGACAATCATCCCCAGCTTTACATGGGCTCCTCCTCTTTGCTGCCTTCCCCTTAAAGCCCCACACTAGGCTCCCCAGTACTTATGTAGGTGCTGTCAAGTTAGTTTTGACTCATGGTGACCTTATGTACAATAGAAGGAAACATTTCCTGGTCCTGCACCATCCTCACAATCCTTGCAATGCATGAGCCCATCATTGCAGCCACTGTGTCAATACCTCTCATTGAGGGTCTTCCCCTTTTTTCACTGACCCTCTGCCTTAACAAGTGTTCTGGTTACCTAGTGCTGCTCTGACAAGAATATACCACAAATGGAATGGCTTGAACAAGCAGGAGTTTATTCTCTAACAGTTGGGAAGCTACAAGTCTGAGTTCAAAGTGCCAGACTCTAGGGGCTGGGTGAAAGCCCCTTGAGCTTGGGCTTCAGCTCTGCCACTTGCTCCTGGCCCAGTGAAGCTAGAGGCATCTATTTCTTCACTCAGACAGCTACTGGCTGCTGAGGCTGACAAGCCCAAGGCTAACAAATAAAAATAGCACAGTCTCAATGTTACCAAACCACATGGCAGGCCATTAACTCAAGTCTGTTGAAAGTCCCAGGATTGGCAGAGCACGGCAGGCTGCTGAACAATGACTTGGCTACATACCTTGGTTCAGGCGTGCCATAAGCTAGAGACCATTCCCAAAGCTGTTTCTTATATACGCGAAGCAGACCACGTACCCAAAGCAGCTACTCAGCTGCTTGTGGTAGGTCCCACCATGGATCTGATTGCTAGTCTCATCATGGGAAATAACTACCACCAGCTGCCCAGCCATTCAACCAGGTCCAGCCGAGCTGACACACAAACATAACCACCACACCAAGCATGATATCCTTCTCCAGGTATTAGTTCCTTCTGATAACATGACCAAAGTATGAGAGATGAAGTTTGACCATTCTAGCTTCTGAGGAGCATTCCACTGTACTTCCTCCAAGACAGACTTGTGTGTCATCAATTTTTCTTTGGTTTTCCTTATTCACTGTCCAGATTTCACATATATACGAGGCTATTAAAAATACCATGGCTTGGGTCAGGTTCACCTTAGTCTTCAAAGTGATATCTTTGTTCTTTAAAACTTTAAAGAGGTCTTTTACAGCAGATTTGCCCAATGCAATACATTTTCTGATTTCTTCACTGCTGCTTCCATGGGCATTGATTGTGGACCCAAGTAAAATGATATCCTTGACAGCTTCAATACTTTCTCCATTTATCATGATGTTACTTATTGGTCCAGTTGTGAGGATTTTTGTTTTCTTTATGTTGAGGCTTAATCTTTAATACTTAGCCTATACAAATTTATTTCTCAGTGGTCCCTGGGGTTGTGACTCTGAGGGGGAGCCAGAGTCTCACAACAACCCCTTGCCTTGGCCACAGGCCCTTCTGATCAGCAATGACTTTGTGACTCCAGACCACCTCCTCACTCATCTAGTTTTTTTTTTTTTTTATTAGGATTTGGGTGAAGATTTACAGAGTAAATTCACTTTTCATACAGCAGTTCACATATACTTTGTCTCATGTCATTGACCAAAATTTACAATGCAGCAGCTCCCCTCCCACTTCCTCCCCATAGTTACCTCCTCCCAGTGTCCATCCCTTCATACTCTTCTGCACCCTGAGCTATCTCCCTGTGCATAAGCAGCCCTTCCTTCTCCCATGATTGTTCTCTCCAGGGCGTGTCCTCTCTCATCTCTTGATTGTGGCCTTAAGGCCCTCAGGGGCAGAGGAAGACAGGAGATCAATCAAGGTCATTTGAGTCTGAGCAGGGGCCCAGGTTGGTACCAAGCCCTCATGGAGTTTTCTGACATATGTGTGTCCTGCTTTCCTAGGAAGCTGGTAACTGTGTGCCCTGTGGATGAGCCAGAATGGGGGCATTCAGCCACTGTGAGGGAGTTTACCTAGTCTTCCAAATTCAAGTATCCTCATCAGATATGATCATTGCTAAAGTTTTCTTTAGAACTATGGTAATGGGGGACATCAAGCTCAATTGGCATAATACACTACACAAAAACATTGTTTTACATCCTACTTTGGTGAGTAATGCCTGGGGTCTTAAATGGTTGCAAGTGGCCATTTAAGATGCAACAATTGGTCTCTTCTTGTCTTGACCAAAGAAGAATGAAGAAAGCCAAAGACACATGGAAATAATTAGTCCAAGGGACTAGTGGACCATGAGAATTTCAGCCTATGTGATCCTGAGACCAGAAGAACTAGATGTGCCTGGTTACCACAGTCAACCACTTAGAAAGGGGTGAAAATAGGAAATCCTGGATAGATTGGAAGAAAAATCTGCAACAAAACCCAAAATCATAAAAAAAAGGCCAGGCTTATTGGTCTGATAGAGACTGGTGAAAGCCCTGAGACTATGGCCCTTAGTCACTTTTGGGCCTGGAAT